AATTACTATCTCTAAGACTGTGCATTTTTCTATAATTTAAATTATTTGACAACCCTTTTATACTTATATTATAAAATTATTTTATTAAATTGTTGTTTATAAAAAATTAAAAATCCTTAAAAAATATTTAATTTCTAGATTTAATGGAAACTTATTTATTAAACAATAAGAATTATAAAAAACAAAAGAGTTTTGTTAGATTATTTTGATAAATAGTATCTCTTTTTACTTGTTAATGAAACTTCATAATATATATTATAATGAATTTGATTGAATATTTATAATTATTTGGATAAGATTTTTTAAACATATTTCAATGAGATTGAAAATACCTTTAAATAATAAAATCTATTGTTTAAGGATAAGGTAAGCATAAACATAATCATGATAATTTGATTTCACAAAGAATAGGTAAAGGTTCAGGTTTTCTTTTAAAAAATTTGTTTCTAAACAATCCAAAATCTTTATTATCACTCTCCTTATCATTTTTTGAATAATAGTCTTCTTCCTTCTTTTTTGGGTCCGTGCAAAATTAAATTTTTTGTTATCTTAGATAGGTTAAGATTGATTTTATTTTTTGATTAGGTTTATGATACAACTCTAATTCCAATGAATCAAGACTTGAATTAAGGTCTTCTTGCATAAAATATATTTAATTTCAATTAAACATGAATAAATATTTTTTTTTTAATATCACTAAAACATAGTCGTTAATTCCAAACCTAATTTATATTAAATTATTACCAATAAAATATATACCTTATAACAATATATCAATAAATCTATTTTTAGTAATAATTTAAATCTATAAATATTAAGATCAAAATTAAAATAACTAAATGCATCCACACAAATTAAATTAAAAAAGTATTAACAAAAATAGTTTAATAATTTTAAATAAAATCAAAGATTTCTATTTACTCAAATGATTCAAATGTAAAAATTATTTTTTAAAGCCTCACTCTTTATAATAATTAAAATAATTGTTTCAATTTAAATTTAAATAAAACATTACATTTATATATGATGTTCTAAAACAAGAAAATAGCAATAATACTTAAATTACTACCTTTTAATACTAAATATTATATAAAAGTATAAAAAAATGTTAATTAAATTACAATTATATACTAAATTGATTTGTTATAATATAAATTATGAATTCAACCTTTATTAAGAATTTAATTTAATTCAGTTGTTTTTAATATAGATTGGAAATAGTATATAGATGGTTTAGAAAACTTGGTTAGTAGAATAATTGAAGATATAAATTTTTAACTTGTACTATAAAAGGAATCAATTAAATTGAATTAATATAAGAGTATATATATAATTTTATAAGTTTAAAAATTGAATAATTTTTACTACAATATAGAATAAGTTTCAAATAATAGATGTAATCAATATAGATACTTAATAATATATTGATTCCATTTCTTCTACAGATAAAATAGTTTGATACTTAATATCATTTAAGTTATCAATGCTTTAAATTAATTCTTAGTATAACGTATTAAATATTTTTAATTACCCAACTAAATTTATTTTAATAAGTTTGTTAGATAATTCAAGGATTTAATTTTACTTTTACTTAAATAATTATTTTTCTTCTTTGACTTCATTTATAATATCTTCATGATATGGAGAAGGTGTTATAAGCATTGGTGCTATTCGACTTTATCTATGATGATTTAAGATATCTTTTATTTTAACTCTTTTTTAATATTTTCCACTCTTTTTATTATTCAATATTTTTTTTTAAAGATTTTATTCATCCTATCTAACTTAAGCAAAATTTTATAACATCTATTTTCCCAATACCATACTAGTTCTTCTTGATTATAATTAAGCCTATTTTTTATGATCAATAATCTTTCTAACAGCCATTTTAAATATTGCTTGATATTTCCATTTCTTTTCTTGTTTTTATCCAAAAATATATCTCATTAATTTTTTATGTAATTATTAATATGAATCTTTAACAATATTTCTTTTGAATTATCTTTCCAAAATTTATTTTTTTGATGCATATTAATTCATCATTTCTCCATCTAATGCACTTATTCTTTTTAATTATTTTGCATTTTCTATATAAATAAATAATAATAATACTTTTTATTCTAGAAATACTTTCTTACAATAATAATCTTCTTCTTAATCCTAACTACTCAATTTCAAATAGTAATTTTTCATCTTCTTAAACTAATTGTAAGAAATGTAATACAGGACACATAATTACTACAGAATCTTTACCAGCAATAGCCGATTGTTTACGATTACTATCTTCTAATATTTCAATCTCACCAAATATATATCCTTCTTAAATATTAAGAAGTGTATTGCCATCTTTATCACACAAACGAATTTCTCCAGCAACTAAGAAAAATACTTCAAGACTAGGAGAACCATTAAAATATATTGTTTCATATTGTTTAAAACAATATATACTAAAATGAGGTAATATGGCTGCTGCAAAATTTATATCAAAAGAAAAGATGTTAACATTTTCAATTAATTATTTTTGACAAAATGCTATAGCAAATACTTTAAGTTGAGAAGGCAAGGTTTCAATAATTCTGTTATCTTAGTTATATAAATGAAATACTTCTTGTAATTCCAAAATGGATTATTTTCAATATTATAATAATAATAGGAGAATAATTAAGAACTTAATTCTTCTGGAATAAGTATTTGAGACATGAGTGTTTCAAGTGCTTCTAAATCTTCATCAAAACCTTCATTTGAAGATTATTATTCCAATATTGCTGCTAAATTACCAATAGTAAAAGAATAAAATCCAACACCTACAAAAATCCATATAATTGTTAAATTATATTACATAGATGTTGTAATAAATACATCACCATATCCAATAACAGTAACTGTTTATATAGCCCAATATAAACCTTATATATAAATCTTTAAGGTATTATCTTCTTCTGATATACCTTCATATTTTAATACTGAATAAAACAAACAACCAAATAAACTGATTAAAATGAGCATATTTTTAAATATTTTTATTATACTCCATAATTTACCTTCTAATTAAAATAGTTTTTCAAAATATTATGATTAATCTTTAGATGTTTATGTTTCTTAATATATTTATCTTTCATTATAACTAAAATATTTAACAAATCTCAGTAATTTTAAAAGATTTAAACATAATTATTCAGTAAAATTATTTACAAATAATTTATATGGGATGATACTTATTATATCTAATAATAGCCATCTCTATAAATTAAATAAAAATATATCCTAGAATGTATCAATTAAATTATAGTTTTTATCAATTTAACATGTAATTTATTTAAGTATGATATCAATTAAATACAAGCTATCCAATATCAAAATAAAAATAGTCATCACATCCTAAAAATAATTAATATCAATACTAAACTTCTATAATCTGACAAACTTATATATATTGGATACAACATTAAAGTAATAGATGTTTACAATTACATAAATTATTTCCAAATTTTTAATTAATTTGGATAAAATGGCAGCTTTTTTCTTTTCTTATGAATTTATTTAAGTTGTGAAGTTTTATCTGATTCTTTTGTTTAATTAATATGTCTAAAAAATGATAATAGAATCATCAATCTTCTAGATGCAATATCAAATTTGCTTTTTGTTACTCTATCTCTAAAATAATCATCTTCTTCAACAATTTAATCTTAACTAGTAAACTAACTACGCTTAGGAGTTAAAAATGCTCTATTGCTTATCCCACTTGAATAATATCAAGTTATACTGTTTAGGTGAAATAATTAGAGTGGTTTCTTTTGATGTATGTCTACTTTACCTAATTGTATTAAATAGTTTGAGTGAACTATTCAAGTAAAAAAGATATCATACTCTAATCCTGTTTTATAATCCTTTGTGTCAATTGGAGATGAGCAACTTGGATGAACCTATCCAACACTCATTTATATGTTAATTTATCAAATATTTACAATTACTTAAGCTTTTAAAGTACATAATACCTAAACAAAAAATACAATTATTTCAATCACAAACATGAAAGTTACCCTTAATTGTATGCAATCTAACACATACTCTATTCCATATACATTAAATTATTCATTAAAGTACTGGAATTGATAGGTATGTAAGACTGTAAGAAAAGGCAATATCATACTATTTAATCCTAACAGGTAAGTATAAATATTCAGAAATTTAACATAAGATAAAGAAAACTATATACTATTTTAATAGGTCAATTTCTTTATTATTTATGTATATAATAATCCATATCCATAAATGAAAATTTAATACAAATATGAGCATGAAATTAATTGTATATCATAATATATAAATTATATAATGATAGAGAACTTCAGTTTAGATAAAACAAATTAATTTATAATTTACAATTATACCTATAGCATCAATTGAACATTCTATTTCTTCTTATCATATAGATCTATATTATTAAAGTTGATAATAAATTGTTAGATTGTTGATTATTACAGGATAATTAAACAAATTGAGAAACTGATAAATATCAGAGATATATGAATATTACCTTAACGTTTTAACATCAGACCAAGTTTTTTTTTATTTTTTGTCATTTAAAATGAATTGCTACTTCTATTAGATTTATTATTAGTTTTTGTATAAAATTTATCAATTCAACAGATATTTCATCAAAAATAGAGTGTTGATGTAATCTGTTTAAGAATTCATATATTATTATAAGTGAAAAAAATCATTATCTTATATAAATCTTATAATTCAAATCAATTAGGAAATGTCAAAAATCTAAATTTAGAATAAATTGTTTAAGATTCCAATTCTAATTAGGGATAAAATAAAAAGATTTGTTTTTATTTAGAAGGTATCCTAATTTTAAATAGATTAATAATATTGATTAATATTAATAGATATATAAATTTAGATCTAGAAAATATAATAAATTCAACAATTCTTGGATAGAAATAAAATGTATAATAATATATAATTATAGAGTATATTAATAAAAATATTCTTCATTATTAATAGGATTATTTTTTAATACATTAGTATCCACTAATATTTTTCATTCTCAATGTAGTTGATTATTCAATGTTTTCTTTTGAGGTTTATTTTTAATTTTTTTGTTTTGATTGGCAATTCTACTTTAAGACTTGATTATAAATAGATTCTCCAGGATGACTGCATAATTCCTTAATTATTCTATCTTTCAGAGTATCTTCATTTGTTGTATTTTAATTGGCTTAAGAGGTATATTATTATATATTCATATTAGCAAGTATAAATTATCTCTTTCCTTCTATTTAATCTAGAGATGGTTATTTTGAATTTGTTCTTCTATTCATATTATTATCTTATTTATGATTCTATTAATTATTGATTCTAGAATAAAGTTCTTAATGAAGAGGAGTTAATGATTATTATTGTGGTTATGAATCATAATTTTTTTTAGAAAATTCTGTTTAATTCTTTTATTCTAATAAATTATTATTTACTAAAGGATATTGATATTATGCTTGAATAGATGAACATATTTACATTTTTAATTTATATGATTGGTTATTAACTTAAAAGTTTATGGTATTGCATTTGTAAAGTGTTTTTAATGTTTAGGTGTTAATTATCGATCTTCAAAACTATTTCTATCAATCTCTTTTGTTTGTCTTTATATATATAACTAATTAATATTATTATTTAATAATTAATTTGAATTTTCTTATTATTTTTAACATTCAATTGTTGTATTTTACTTTTCAGATTATTAAATAATACATTTATCATTCAATTCAAATTAATTATTATTTATTTAATCTGCCACACTGATATTATGTTTAACACTATCTCTATCATTAGGAGTTACTTAATGATTTTTCCTATCTTAAAAAACCTTAAATTACCAATTTTCTGGAGTATTAGTATAAGTATTACTTTCTATCTTTGAATTCTATAAAATTAATACTTGATTAGAAAATGCATTCTCTTTTTGTTTTTACTATTGTTATAATATTTGAGTTGAGCTTTTTCCTGGAGATTATATATGATCTTTTACTGGATTAGAACAAGTACTCTAATATATATCATCACCTTTCAATAATTCAAATACCTTCATATTTATAGGAGAATTTGTAGCTTTATGTATTATTTTTGGAGTATTTTAATTTTAAATTTAATAATTAACATATTCAGAGGAATCTTCAGTATTTAATAATAAATTATAACACATCTTATTCATTGTAGTTAATATTTAATTATATTCAAATTAAATTGATTTTTGGATATATTCTTAATTAAATTCTTGAATCTATTATTTAACTTAAGACACTTTTTTATCATATCTACTCATAATATCTTCAAATGGTTTCATTTCCATATTTTTAACTATATTTTCATGATTTGTAGTAATATCAATTTCATATTATTTTAATTAAGTATCAATTTATTAAATAAGACTTATATTATCTGTAACTTAGTTTAATTAATTTATGTGATCATTTTCTATTTTAGACAAATAAGTTAGTTTCAATTATTTAGCAATATTGATAACAAATTCAAAGAATAAATTACAATTATCTTTTTAATCCTACAATTACTTTGAAGAATTTATTTATAGATTATTTAGTTTCTTAAACTTAATTGAACATTATTTTAGAACTTCTCTTAACTACTCTTAAAAACTCTAAATTCTTTATTATCTATAAATTTCAGGTTATTTTTCTTATTTTTCTTATGTTTCCTCTATTTTCAATCCTTTAAGTGCTAAATTCAAAGCACATTTAGAACAAAATAATTTACTAATATCTTATTGAACATAATATTTTGCCTAATTTAATAATATTGTTATACTTTTTTATTTGGATGTTTTGCACAACTATTATTGCATTATTCTTTCTACTTGAAAATATTAGACTTCTTTAGTATTCTTTCTTATTCAGTTTATATAAATGATTTTTCATCTGATTCAGAAGAAGAAATTTATACACTCATTATCTGTTAAAAATATTTATAAATAAATAAAAAAGAAGAAAGAATAGGTAGTATACAAAATACTATAATCTTATATATTTTAATAAAAGAAACACTAAACTTCTATCTAATTTTATATCTTCTTTATTTTAAATCTTTATTGAAATATAAATTTGTTAACTATTAACTTTATTAATATTATAATTAATTATAATGTTGTTGTCTTTAATATATTCAAATTTAATAGCAATACATAATATTATATATATATTTTATTGAAATAAATGAAAGTTCTATAATAAATTTAAATAGATAAATTATATTATATTATTTCATTTCTTTTTATGAATTAATTAGTAAAAATTCTAAAATATTTCTTAATTAGTCATTTTTTCTGATGGAAATTAAATATTTTGTTTAAAAGAATTTAATTAATCACTTAATATCTCTTTTTCAAAATTTTCATAATTTTTATAAATACAAAATTATATTTTTGTTTATTATAATCCTACAAATTAATTTGTATGATATCTTTCAATATCTAGACAAGTTTACTTGAAATCAAACCTATTTTAAGGTCCTAAACTACTTGCAAAATATTAAGCTATTATATATCCAATAGTATTAAATTATAACTATTTCATATTATGAATTGCTTATTAATTTTAACAATTTATTTATTAAGATTTATTATCAATTTAAATTAATTAGATTGAAGATACTTCTTATTTATACATTTCCATCATTTATTACAAGGTTTAGTTAATACTTGTTATTTTTTCAAAATAATTTCTTTATTCCCAATTTCTTTTATAATCATCCAATTAAAATGGTTCAATATTTTATAATTATGTTATTATTGAATTAGCTACATTTAAATTAGGATGGGTTAAAGATATTTATAAAGAGTTTTCAAATTTTTTAGATTATTTTATTGATAGTTTAATTGATTTTTTTAATGGTTAAACTTAATTTATAATATTAGTATCACTATGAATAATAGATAGCAATAATTTAATAAAGTAAACTAAATTCATAATAATAGAAATAAGTTTTTATTTATCAGTTGTCAAAACTAAATTTTTAAGATTTGGAAGTTGATTTTATTGTTTATTATTTTTGTATTCAATTTGAAGGTTAAGACATAAATCAATTATAAATTAATCTAATTTTAAGATTTTGATATCACTCTTAATTTATTAATAAGATATTTAATATAAATTAAATAGATTACTATTTAAATTGTAAAGGAAATAATTCAATTATAATTATTATTTTATGTTTTGTTGAATATATGTTAAGTATTCGTATTTAGATATTTCACTATAAAATTATTAAATAATTTCAAGTTAATGATTGATTTATTGTAAACTTAATTTTGAATTAAACTAGAATTAAAAATAATTTTATTACATATTATTATTTATCTCTTAATTCAATTGCATTTATATATTTATCATATTTATCCTCTTCAATTTCTTCAAATAACAATAATATTTAAGGTTAAAAAGAATTACAATAAACCTAAGTTACTTTGAATTTCCATAATTTAGACTTATTTTATTCTTCTAAAATAGCAAAATATTTTTGAACAGGATGTTCTTCATTTTTCATTTTAAGTTCTTATATTATTAAATGTTCTATTTTTATATATTATTAGGTATTTTTATTGTCTATATCAAAGAATACTAATTTTCTTAAGAAATCTCTGAATGCTTCATTGTTTAATAAATTGAATGTATCCTTAAAATGTTAATTTATCTTTTCAATATCCAATTAACCAGCTAATTTATTATATTTGACAATAACTACCCAAGAGGGTAATAAGTCTTCTAAAATATTATCATATTGAACTTTAGATAAATTGACTAAAAAATGCTTTCTTTTGATTATCTCATACTGATATCTTAATAAAACAAGTAAAATAGAAATTATACACTGTGAGATGACAGATTATATATCATATGTTTAGAAATTATAGAAGTTTGCAATTTAAGTTAAGAGAAAGAAACATGTTTAAAAAATAAATGAGGATCCAGTTATATAAATTACTATGATAAATATAATATTTCTTACAGAATTTTAGAATTGATGTATGATAACCATAATACCAAAGGTCAGATTCTGATCCAAAGAGTCTTAAACTTTCAACTAAAGCACTCATTAATAGTATATTAATAGTAACGAAGATTTCTTTATATTTTTGATATCTCCTCATTCCAATATAACAAGCCAATATTAATGTTAAGCAAACACTAGCCAATATTTAAGGTATCAAATTCTAATATTGATTATACTTTATGATAATTAGAATTATATAGAGGGTAATTGTTGCATATAAGTATTCACGTCTATGCTTTAGACCAATTAACTTTGATTAACGATACATCTATTCAATCTCTTAAGACACATACTGTAAACTATATGTTTTAATCATAAATTTATAATATTTAAGAATAATCTTATTTATCACAATAAATGAACGATTTCATTCATTAAATTGAATAAAAATTATACTTGATCAATTTATTATATCTATATAATTTAAACAATATTATTCTTTAATTTATAATAACTTATATTAATTAAACAAACTAAATAAAATAATAAATAAAAAATGAGTTATGAAACTAGAGTAATTATGAATTATTAGTTTAATACTTGTGATATTATTGGAAGAGGGTTTAGTTCTATTGTATATAAAGGGATTAATACTATTACAAAAGAAAATGTAGCCATTAAAGTAATCATTATTTATTATACTGTCTTAGGTTATCAAGAGACAATTTTCTGATCAATTACCACTTATTTAGAATGAAATATAAATCCTATCCAAACTACAGGGACGCAATATATTAAAATTTTATGAGCATTTCACAACTCAGAACAATATATATATTATCACTGAATACTGTAGACAAGGAGATCTAGCATAGAAATTAAAGTAATTTGGATACTTGAAATAAGAATATGCTGTAGCTATTATTCGATAAATTATAGATGGTATATATGTGATGGCTTAACAAAGTATTCTAAATTATCATATGAGATATTATACATAGAGACTTAAAGCCATAGAACATCTTAATTAATGAAGATGCCATTAAAATAGCAGATTTTGGATTCGCAAAGCCCTTAAATTAATTATAAAATGAAATGAATGTTGGTACTCCTCTCTACATGAGCCCAGAAACCATAATCAAATCATAATATAACGCCAAAAGTGATATTTGGAGTCTAGGGGTTCTCTTTTATGAAATACTATTTGGATGTCCACCCTGGTAAGCATAGACTGAATAAGAATTGATTTTTAAAATGCTCAATTAACGTATTTCATTTCCAGATGTTCCTCCTGTTTCTGAAACAGTAAAAGACTTTATAAAATAATGTCTAATAGTTGATCCATATTTAAGATTAGGAATTACAGAACTCATTAAACATCCATTAATAAAAAGAACAACAAAAAAAACAGAAAAATTTGTTAGACAAACAGATACTGAAAGCACTTAATAAACTATAAAATCTGAAATTCCAAATAGTTCAGAACCATGGACTTCAAATAGTTCAAATAAAAAATTAGTATATGTAAGTTGTAAGAATCCTTAGGTTAATGTAATTTTAAATAAGTATTTAAATACAAAAAACAATTAAATTACTAATAATAACACTATTCCTAAAAATTAATCTTTATTTGATGAAATTTAATTGATATTACAAAGTCAGTTCTCTTTGTGCATATTTCTTAATAATATAATATCAAAATTAAAGGATTTCAAATTGACTACACCTTTATTAAATGAGAAATGTAGAATTATTTTTTCAAAACATCTATAAAATATCAAAGAAACTATTTATAAATAATTGATTGAAAGTGATAATAAATTTAAATTTAAAGATTGGTAACTTTTTTGTAAAGAAAATGCTTATAGTAGATTTAGTGCTAAATTCTTATTAGAAAATAACTAATTTACTAAAACATGTTTAGAATATAATTAAATGATTAAATCTAATAAATCATTAATAATTGAGTATTAAAAATATGATTCAGAATTCTATTAAATTTTGTTTGGATTAGAATGGAAGGTTATTAAAAAGATAATTAGAAATTTAATAATAGAATTTAATCATATTATTGCTTAAAATATTGATACAAGTAATTTATGTAATAAAATCAACAAATCCTAATAAGTTGAGATATTCTTCTTATAACAATTATATTATTATTTTGAAATTGTTGATAAATATTACTTAAAAGAATTTGATGAAAAGAAATTCGCTCAAGAATCTAAAATTTAATAATATATGGTATTAAAAGAATTGAAAATATCAGATTACTTAGAATTAAGATAAATAATAAAGAGACTAATGAAATCATGAAATATAAATATATTTCATAAATTTTGTATAAAATCATATGAAAAACAAAGTAAACTTAATAGTATAGATTCATTTTTTAAATCCATTAAGAGTATTCTAAAGAATATCTAGGTTTATCTAAAAATATGAATCTATTTTTCTTTTTTTTATGTAAATTCACTTGAAAGTTGTGTAATTTCTATTTTTTTATTAGAGAATAATACTATCAATTTTTCAATGTTTTCCACTTCATTCTTATATCTCATTAAATATTCTATTCATGCTTTCCTAATAATATATATAATGATTGATTACATTAATTTAATTAATTTAGTGTTATTTGATTTATTAGATTAATATTAAGATTCAAGTGTATTATTAAACTTTATGGATTGTTAATACTTATCTTTTATATCTTATGATTATTGAATTTATAAATTATGAGATTTTTTTATTATTTCAATATGTTTTGGATATTATTCAAAGTTATTATGAGGTTATCTGATATTTAAGTTATATTTAATTTCATTTCTATATACTATTGGATTTGTTCCATTTCGTATTGATTAAATTTCTGTTAACCTTGGTTAATATTCACTTGATCGAAATTCATCACTTTTAATTGAGAGTTTTTGGCAAGATCTAAAATTTTGTTTCTAACGGAAACGATCCATAATTCTTGATGCCATTTCAGTAGCTTCCTTTTCGATATTAATTTCACAATTAGATTAATAAGAAGACAAACGGCCATTCATTTTTATATTATATTTTATTTATTAATATTATTTAATAATTATTCAATACACTCTCTTTTTAGGAGGAACAGTATCAAATTCTTTTGGATCTTAAGTCTTAGTGATAACCTATAAATTATAATAATAATTAATACATCTCTATAAGTTAATTCAATATCACCACTTTTAGTATCTTTAATTCTGGCCAATGTATGTTTCATCCAATTCTTATCATCTCTATCTGGAAAATCATCACGAGCATGTGCTCCTCTGGATTCTTTTCTATTTAAAGCTCCTTCTATAGTCATTTTACCTTATACTGAAATAATATTTAAATATAGAATTACATAATAAATTATCTAATTCTAATCCTTCAATCAAATCAGAATTCCATACAAGTCCTTTATCTTTAATTCTAATATCATCTTTCCTTGAATAAATTTCTTTAACTTTTTCAACACCCTCTTATAATGTTTTTTCAATTCTAAATACAGCAGCATGTTTCTGCATTGTTCTTTGAAGATCTTTTCTAACTTATGCAACTGTTTAAGATCCTTCATGATGTCTTAATCTGTCAATTCTAGCTATAGCAGCTTCTCCAGCATTTTTAGGTAAATCTGGTTATTTCTATCCAGGTTTCCATTTCTCACCAACAAGATTAGCAGCTTGTCTTCCAAATACAACTATATCTAATAAAGAATTGGCTCCCAATCTATTTGCACCATGAACTGAAGCACAAGCAGCTTCACCAGCTGCCAAAAGTCCAGGAACTACTTGATCTTTGCCTCCAACTTAATTAAGAACTTCAGTTTTGAAATTGGTTGGTACTCCACCCATATTATAATGAACAGTTGGTAAGACTGGTGCAGGTTCTTTGGTAACATCAACACCAGCAAATATTTTAGCTGCTTCACTAATTCCTGGTAATCTTTCATGTAAGAGTTCAGCAGGCAAATGATTTAGATGCAAGTAAATATGATCTTTTTCTGGTCCAACTCTATAAATGATAATAATCTAAGAGGTACCCTCTTCCCTCTAAAATTTCCTTAGTCATAGCTCTAGAAACAACATCTCTACTAGCTAAATCCTTAGCTGTTGGAGCATATCTCTCCATGAATCTTTCTCCCAATGAATTTCTAAGGATACCACCTTCTCCTCTACATCCTTCAGTCATCAAACATCCAGAACCGTATATACCAGTAGGATGAAATTATACAAATTCCAAATCCTCCATTGGTAAACCTGCTCTTATTGTCATACCTCCACCATCACCTGTACAAGTATGAGCTGATGTGCATGATTAAAATGCTCTTCCATAACCTCCTGTTGCTATTACTGTATATCCAGCTCTAATTCTATGGATTGACCCATCTGCCATAGACATACAAACAACTCCTCTACAAGCTCTATATTATATTAATCACAAAAATTAAATTACCCTTAGTCATCCATCATCAAATCAAGAGCAAAGTACTCTACAAAGAATATACAATCATATCCTAAAGCTCTTCCAAATAAAGTATGTAACATAGCATGTCCAGTTCTATCTGCTACAGCACAACATCTATAAGCTTATCCTCCTGTTCCGAATTTCAAACTCTATCCTCCAAATGCTCTTTGATAAATCTTCCCTTCTGGAGTTCTTGAAAATGGTAAACCATAACTTTCCAATTCATAAACTGCCTTTGGTGCCTCTTTACACATATAAGTAATAGCATCTTAGTCTCCCAGCCAATCAGATCCCTTTATTGTATCGTATGCATGCCTAGATATGTCTTAATCACTACCATCTCCAATCATCTTCTGTCATGTTTCCTAATGCTGCATTAATACCTCCTTAAGCTGCTACTGTATGAGATCTTGTGGGAAACAACTTTGAAATACAAGCAGTCTTAAACCCTAACTCTACTAAACCAAATGCTGCTCTTAAACCTGCACCTCCTGCTCCTACAACAACTGCATCATAAGTATGATCTATCACTGTATATTTGTCTGTCAGATGGCCCTATCAATTTTATTCTTAGGTATTACTTAAGAAGGACCAACTCCTGGTTTATTTTTTGACACTACACAGAATCGATTAACTAATTTTGTGGCCTGTTGATTGTACAAGGCCTAAGTTGTAATTCTGAACATTGGATTAAAAATATATAAAATAAGATATTATTAATTATGATCAAGAAATTCCTACTCATGCCTATAATTAGCTATGTTGTTTATTTATCAATTCAAATTAACAGAAATGAAACACATATCATATCTATCTTGAATATTGTTGCCAACATGACTGGATTTTAATCTATTGATAATACAGCATGGATCATAATCTTTAATGTTTTGGCATTTTCAATTTTATTTGGCATATCCTACATCAATTATGCATTAGCCATCCTACAATTTATAGTCCTTTTTTTGCATATTTAGACTTTAGATGACTTTGAAATTACAGAATTAAGTCAAGCATTTAAAATTGTTGCAGCTGATATTGCTATACTTGGTGTATTATTAGCAACAATTAATTAAAAAAATCAACAAAAAGTTGAAGATGAAACACAACCAAAAGAAAAACAAGAATGATCAATTAATTAATATTTATATGTATTATAATATTATTGTTTATACATTAATATATATTATTATTTCTTATTTTAATCTTATTATACATTTATTTTCATAAAAGCATGTAATTATGAATGATAAGGATTTAATAATTTAATTGTATATATTAATCATTTATAAATAAATCCTTTAATATTCTTATTGATATAAAATGAATATCTCAATCTTACTTATCTTAATGATTATCTTCTTTTATTTATTATTAAGTATTTTATTTTTGTTCAGTATCTAAATTTTGTGTTACAACAATCTCTTTTTCAGGAGTAGGTAACCATCTAGGTAGTTCTACACTTTTATTAGTTTTAAGATGATAAATATGTTCATCTTCTTCTTTAATCATGTGATTGAATTCATCATGAGGTAAATTTTTAGCTTTTTCTAATTTTGATGTCAATTTCTTCTAAACTTCTTGTGATCTCAATAATTTTTACATCATATATGATTCTTCCATTTCCATTTTTTCCTAATAAGCTCTATTTTATTCACATACTCTTTTATTTTCCAATTTAGCTCTAAAGCTTAATTTGATAAGAATTACTTTTCATTTTCCTTATGAATATGAGATAATTTTTCATTCCAATAAATTGATATATTAGTTTTTGACTTTGACAAATTTTCCTAAATTTGTTCTCTTTTCTCTCTGTTCTTTGTAATAAAGTCTTACTTTAATTTATTAATGATTTCAGAATTTTTTAAAGATATTTCTCTAGATTAGATGATATTTTGTAAGTGTACTTAATTCTTTTATATTCTTCTAATTTTATTTATTCCATTGCTTTTTTAATCATAGCTAATTATTCTTCTTATTATTTTTTATAGCAATAATTAAATTTCTATTTATCTTTCAATAATTCTTCATCATTCTTTTAACTTAGTTTTTTCTAATGATTTTTAATTTAATAATATTAGTTACTTATTCAATTTATTAATGATGATTCTTTTTTAATTCAATCATAGATTTAGTTTTCTTTTTAGTTTCATCAATTTTCTTAGATAACTGTGCATCACCTCTCTTTAATAATTTAAGTCTATTTTTCATCAATAAGATATCTTTCTCAGTTTCTTAACGTAATTTACGAGTATGCCATACAGTTTCTTCATTTTCTCTTTAGAATGATAGACGAGAAGTCTTCATTTTTTTATTTATTTAATGAAATCAGATTTTATTTGTCATCGAAAACATTTATTTAAAGATTCTATATATCATATAGAAATCCAAAATGATTAGTTACTTTTACTTAATGTATATAGATAAATTTTATCATTCAGAAAGAAGGATTTGCAAAATATACAATAAATTTAAATTGGTCTGTAGAAATTAGTTGGAATACTTTGAATTCTGATCCTTCATTTGGATTTATGTTCAATTCAAAAATTAAATGGTTTCATGCTAAGCCTAAAACAATAGAAATGTTAAGAAATGCTATTAAAAAACACATAACTTCAACAGATTTTCAAATATTTTATAATATAGGATCACATATATCTAAAGGTCAAAATAGTTATTGCTATGAATTCATATAAAATAATGATGATAAGTTGAATTATGTTGTAAAACTTATAAAAAGAGAATAAATAGGAGACTTGAACTAATTATACAATGAACTAAATATACTTAAAATATTGAATCATCCAGGACTTCCAAAATTTATCGAGTTCTTTAAAACAAATAATACTTATTATATTGTAATGGAAAGGATAGAGGGATAAAAACTGAGTAGATTGAATTCAACAACAAAATAATAATTAAGTTTAATTTAAATATAGTAAATTATAATTGAGTGCTTAAAGATTTTATAATACTTAGCACAAATATAAGTTATTCATAGAGATATTTAACCAGATAATATTATATATGATTAAAAGCTCTAAAATGCATCAGTTAAATTGATTGATTTTGCTAAAGCTACTATTATAGGAACTGATCAAAAAATATTAGGTACTCCAGGATTCATAGCACCTGAAATTTTAAAGGAAAATAAATGCTCTACTGATTCAGACATGTTCTCTTTGGGTTGTGTATTTTATAAATTGTATACTAATTAATTAATTAATTAATTTTAGATTAGTCAAATAAGATTTATTTTAAGGAGTCAATAGAGAAGAAATTATGAAAGAAAACCAAAAATGTTTATTTAATCTTAAAAATCTTCAATTAATTCGAATTCCATAAAGTGCTTAACATTTGTTATCTTAAATGTTATCATTAGATCCTAAATAAAGAATTAAACCAAATGAAGCTATAAATCATCATTTCTTTAAAGAATCTATCGATATTAGTTCCTCTCCTAAGTTTAGTACCAGAAATTTATCATTATCTAAATCTATAAGAAATTTGGAAGCAATTTTGACAAGTCCAACATAAAATTAATAGAATTTATTGGATTAATAGATCCTAATTGATTACTTTTAGAATGAATTACCACCTATCAACTAAGTTCCAGTGATGAAATAAGTTAAAGGAGGATACCGTTTTACAAATTCAACTGACACCAATACTTAAAAGAAACTAAAGACTGAAAATAAATTGAATTGATATCATTCTCATAAAATTGATAAATTTTTTGAAATTAAATCTTAAAATATCTAATAATTCTACTAACTGTTTTTTAAAATCAGTATTTAGAGTTTATTTTATAAATATATATATTAAAAAATTTAAATTACAAAAAGCTAATTTACAATTTTGATTGTTTTAATATTAATATAATTATATTTGATGTGTCATGCAATAAATTAAAAAAACCATTATATTTCTAATTCTTAAATCCCATCTTAACATGGCAAAACAAGTTCAGATTCTAAGAATTATTATGAATTTATTATCTCTATTCTCATTAAAATAAATAATTTTTACTTAGAATTTTACAAGGCTATTAAATAAAAAAATAAATATGATAATTTGTTATACTTTATAATACACATTTTAATATATAATTGAAGCTTTAAAAAAAAGAGTTAAATTATGTGAAAGAAAAGATCGAAAGGAAAAACAACAAAAATGAAATATAAATAAAATTATAAAGTAGAAAAGTAATTTTAGATATAAAGAACAAATAAATTAATAAACTATTAACAATCTATTTTTATTTATTTCTTTATTCTTCAAAATAAATTTAATGAGATTTTATAAGTTAATTGTCTTTGTTTCTATGAATGTTATAAAATCTATACCGACTAAAATTTTTTCAATTGTTTTATGAAAGTGTTGCTAATATCTCAATAGAAATGTATTAAATTTTTATTATTATATAAACTCTATTTCTATTTTTACAAAATGATCATTTTTTCAATATTAGAAAATGAGATAAAAATTCTAATATATTAAATAATATTATATTATAAAGCTCATTAATAAACATTTAATATCAGACAGAGTCTTATAATAAATATAGTAAAATTAATTTCTATTAAATAATTAAGAAATATATAAATTTAATGCAATATGTGAATGGAACTAAAGAGTTTTAAAAAAAATCCTCAATGCAAGCCTCAGATTTTATTAACCAAGAATAACTGAATTAACAAACTACTGATAAGACATAAGGGTTTAATATTTATAATTCAAATATAATAATCAATCAAAATGATAATTTTAAAGGATAAAAACATTTCAGTACTAATATGAATTTTGTTAATTCTTCAAATCTTTAATTTTAAGGAAAAGCAATGACTAACACTAATTAATTCAAAATTATGCAATTCTCAAATTAAATTGAATAATTAAATAAAGAAAAAGAAAAAGAAAAAGAATGTCAAATTAAAGATCTAATGAAAATTTCATAAAAGGCAGTTTAAAGAAGGAAGGAAAGAATTTTTGAGAAATACATGTAGCCTAATTAAAATATAATTGAAGACTAATAATCATGATTATATATAAATATTTATTTGGATATATTATTTTTATTTAATCAAGAACAATTATTATTAAGTTAGAGATGATGAATTACAAAAAATTCCCAATATTTTTTTGAAAAGAATATCAATAAAATTATAATGAAACCTTTTTTATAATAGAATACTTATTAAGGATTTGAATTGAAAATTAGAAACATATTCTCAACTAGAGATAAAATTTTAAACTAATTTAATAAGTTTGAATGAAATTCAGAAAAATATCTAATCATAAATGATTAATTTATTTTATAATCTTATAAAAATGTTACCAACTTTGCTTAATCTCTATTTAATCTAAATTTAAGTACTTAAATAATCTAGTTTGATAAATGAAAATAAAATGTCATAATCAATTCTTATTCATTCTTTTTATTTAAAATTTTAGAATATCAATATTAGATTAGATAAGATAATCATCTAATTAATAATATAAGAATTATTCAATTATCTTGTGCTTATTTTTGTTGCATAATAATTTAATAAATTTGATCTGCATCAATGGCTGAATATATTGGATTATCTTGACTATCTTCATAATCATCTTCATCTTCTTTGTCAAAGAATTTAGTATAACACCCAGGGAATACTTCTTTATCAATTTTAATTTTTCCTCTAACAGTTTTAATTTTATCATCTTTATCTTATTTCATAAGTTCATTTTTCTTTTTTTCTATTAATTTCATTTATTTCTTTGCTAATTAAGCTGTTTTTTTTTAAACAGGTTTACTTTTTTCAGATTTCTATTTATCTGTATTATTCATAACATCCATTACATCAACTAATAAATCTGTTTTTAAAGTTGCTTTTTAAATTTTAGCTTCATTATACCAATCATAAAATGTTTGATTTTAATCAGTATTACAAACACAATAAATTGGACTCTATTTAATTTCTTCCATATCTGCTTTTGTAAAATTAGTTCCACCAGTTACTTTATTAATCTCTTATTCAGTTCTTAATACATCTTCATCTTCAGTATTTTCTGGACTTGAACTTAATAAAAGTGCTTCATCCCATCTTTTAACTTTAGTTGGTTTTTTATATTTTATTTTTTTTCTTTCATCCATTTTAATAAAATCTGGAGTTTCATCAGATGGTTTTAATTCATTACAAGCTATCAATACAATTAAATCAATAATAAATATGTTTTAAAGAACTCTAGCAAACTTTTCTGGTGTAATCATCTTTTTTAATTCTTCTGTTATTACTTTATAATCTTCTTTATGATTATCTACAACATAAGTCAATAATTTAATAAGCATTTAACAACTTTATATTATTTCTCTTGCAGATTAATCTTTAACACTAGAAGGTTCTCTTGCATTAATTTCCAAAATTCTTTTTTTTGTAGTATCTCTCATATTTTCAATCTTAGGTTGATTATAAGCAACCATTTTACCCATCATTCTATTTAAATCAACTAATTTAAATTAAAAATGTGCATAGAATTTCTAACTCAAAAAACATTTATCTCTAATTTAACCTATTGCTTCATATTCAGCCTTTACTGCATCCCAATGACATTTATATTTTACACAAATATGCCAATGTGTAACTGTTTCTTCTGCTGAAAATATTTGTCTATTAATTTTTGGATCTATTGCTCTCCATCTAGCTTATACCATAGGTTTATGGGGTATAGAAAGACCATAAATTGTTTTCATTTATCTAGTAATTTCAGCCCATTTGGCTTCTCCAAGTGTACCAACTAATTCAGTCAATACTTCATCAAACTAATGTTAATATTTATCTATACCCTTGGTGTATATATTGGATTATGTTTAGGCATATAATAAAAATANTAATAATATAAGAATTATTCAATTATCTTGTGCTTATTTTTGTTGCATAATAATTTAATAAATTTGATCTGCATCAATGGCTGAATATATTGGATTATCTTGACTATCTTCATAATCATCTTCATCTTCTTTGTCAAAGAATTTAGTATAACACCCAGGGAATACTTCTTTATCAATTTTAATTTTTCCTCTAACAGTTTTAATTTTATCATCTTTATCTTATTTCATAAGTTCATTTTTCTTTTTTTCTATTAATTTCATTTATTTCTTTGCTAATTAAGCTGTTTTTTTTTAAACAGGTTTACTTTTTTCAGATTTCTATTTATCTGTATTATTCATAACATCCATTACATCAACTAATAAATCTGTTTTTAAAGTTGCTTTTTAAATTTTAGCTTCATTATACCAATCATAAAATGTTTGATTTTAATCAGTATTACAAACACAATAAATTGGACTCTATTTAATTTCTTCCATATCTGCTTTTGTAAAATTAGTTCCACCAGTTACTTTATTAATCTCTTATTCAGTTCTTAATACATCTTCATCTTCAGTATTTTCTGGACTTGAACTTAATAAAAGTGCTTCATCCCATCTTTTAACTTTAGTTGGTTTTTTATATTTTATTTTTTTTCTTTCATCCATTTTAATAAAATCTGGAGTTTCATCAGATGGTTTTAATTCATTACAAGCTATCAATACAATTAAATCAATAATAAATATGTTTTAAAGAACTCTAGCAAACTTTTCTGGTGTAATCATCTTTTTTAATTCTTCTGTTATTACTTTATAATCTTCTTTATGATTATCTACAACATAAGTCAATAATTTAATAAGCATTTAACAACTTTATATTATTTCTCTTGCAGATTAATCTTTAACACTAGAAGGTTCTCTTGCATTAATTTCCAAAATTCTTTTTTTTGTAGTATCTCTCATATTTTCAATCTTAGGTTGATTATAAGCAACCATTTTACCCATCATTCTATTTAAATCAACTAATTTAAATTAAAAATGTGCATAGAATTTCTAACTCAAAAAACATTTATCTCTAATTTAACCTATTGCTTCATATTCAGCCTTTACTGCATCCCAATGACATTTATATTTTACACAAATATGCCAATGTGTAACTGTTTCTTCTGCTGAAAATATTTGTCTATTAATTTTTGGATCTATTGCTCTCCATCTAGCTTATACCATAGGTTTATGGGGTATAGAAAGACCATAAATTGTTTTCATTTATCTAGTAATTTCAGCCCATTTGGCTTCTCCAAGTGTACCAACTAATTCAGTCAATACTTCATCAAACTAATGTTAATATTTATCTATACCCTTGGTGTATATATTGGATTATGTTTAGGCATATAATAAAAATAATTTTATTATACTAAACTGGCCTTCAATTATGATTCCCAATTATCCCAAAATAATCCAATGATTATATAAAATGCCTTATAATATTTTTCTTTTATTTTAATATAAATATAAAATTTATATTAATCATTTCTTTCCAAAAGAAGTTTAATTAGCCATTTCCAATACTTATTACTTAAAAATATGGATAACCTCATCAATTATAGCATTCTCCTCTAAAAATATAATCTCATTTAATTACCATTTCTTCTATTCAACTCAGTCTCATATAAGTCTCTCAACTCTTACAAAGATGCTGTGGCTGCATTAATAGCATTTTGAGAATCTTTTAATACACTATTGGCTTTGGCTTAAACAGCAAGAGCTGCTTGCTCTTACTATACAATTATTTTATATCTTTCATACCACAACCAATTTATCTTATAATTAAGTCTTTCTCTAGATTTCATCATTAAGATGA